TATTAGTGACTGGCAGCTCCCCTGAAATAATCTCCCATTTAAGGGCAAATCATTTTCACTGAGTTAAGAAGGTTTGTGATTACGCTACACACTATTGCTATGAATATATTCAGTCAAATCAAGGTTGAATCCCTAGATCATTACATTTTCCACAGAAAACTTTCATCATGCTGAAAGAGAAAACCACCTGATGCTTCCTTGGATCATGATAACCACCCCATACTGAATTTTCTGTAGCTTATGTCTACTGTCCAAGTATAATAAAAGCACAAACAAAATGCAAGAAACTGATGTCCTTGACTCGCTCATTACGTTGGTTTTTGTAGCTTTAGTGAGCCCCACTAAAGATCTCAGTTAAGGTTCAGCTTTGGCTATTTGGCTATTGGATCATGGCTTTAAGGTCATTATGCTTCTCATCTAGGCGCTCTTTCCCTGATGGCATTGAACACTGCTTTTTTTCTCAATGGTATCTATCATGCTTTCTGAGGGAAATTAATCCACACAATTTTCCTAAATTATTACCAAGAAAAAAAGATATGTCAGTATTTCAAAATTACTTTTCCTTTTCTTGGTCCATCATTTTGGGAGTTAAACACACCCAGACTTTCATTGAAAAGTCTCCATGGACTTTTGAAATTTAATAAAAATCATCTGTGAAGGCCCCCATTGTGCCAGAGAAGACACTCGCTGTGTTCTATTCATTATCCAAAATACATTAATCCTAATGACAGAAAAATCTTTGAAGGGAATTTTGGAATCACTTATCAAGTAGGTAAATCTTTGGAGATTCAGAGATTTCTTCATCTCTAATTAGACCTTAATCTGGCTTCTCAATAGCCTTATTCTATTTCTGAAAGTATTTAATGCCAGCAGGGCAGTAGCCAAGCAGATTACACCAATGCATTTGGCCTTACTGTACATAAGAATTATCTATCAATTTTCTCCTTTTCAAGATGAGATATATACCATTAGAATTACTTTATATTATTTCACCTATCTTAGAGATACTCCTGTGATTTTCTTTTTTTAATCTATAATCATATCTAAGTTCTTATAATATTATATAATTTTTTATCTATTAACTAATAAGAAAGTACTTTTTTAATTTTAACTTTTTAAAAATTTTAACATTTACTTGTACATTTTTGTGGGGTACAGTAATTTGTTTCAATACATGCACATCCTAGACAATGATTAACTTAGAGTAGATAACATAATTTTATACCTGATAGTACATCACTTCTCCCCATGACTGCCCTCCCTACTTGGCCTCTGGTAATCATTACTTTACTACTTCTGTGACAACCAGTTTTGTGTTTTTTATTTAATTATTTTATTTTTTTTATTTTTTTAAGATTTTACATATGAGTGAGATCATGCAGTATTAAATTTCTGAGCCTGACTCACTTCACTTACTATTATCAGGCTTTATATTTACTTGATTTCATTGCTTCCAGAAATTATTTTTTTTTATTTTTTATTAGCAGTAGGAAAAATATAAGAAGAAAATAAACAAATGTACACCAGCTAAAGAATATGTAGAAGTGGCATATGCATAAAATGACATACTTTTCAGCAATAAAAAAAATAAAAAAGCTGAATAATGCTGCAGTGGATGAATCTCAAAAAGATGCTTAGTTAAAGAAGGCAGACACAAAAGAATATATATTAAATGCTTCTATTTGTATGAAATGTCCATATTGGAAAACATATTGAGACTAGAAAACAAGGCTCAGGGCTTTGAAAAGGCAAAAAGTCAAAAGTGAGATTATTTTGTTGTTGTCGTTATAGATATATTGTGTAAGAGATTTATCTCTAAAGAATTTACGGGAAAGTTATCTCATATTTTATGGGGACAATAAAGAGGAGGGAGATATTAAACAAATGTTTCATGAATTTGAGTGATGGGTGTATAGAAAAACTTTATCTGATTTTTGTACTTTTCTTGAAAGGTAAGTCAGAAATTCTCTTAAAGGAAAAAGTTTAAAATATTTAATAAAAATAGAATGAGGTAAACCATGCTCTAAATATTACTGATCATCCTCAGGTTATCATTTATGGATCATAAGTTTACTTTTCCCACTTTCCTCTGAGATAAGATAAAAAGCCTTTACTTTCTCTTGTGGTATATGAGTAGGATTAGTTAACCAGGAAATAGGAACACTTTTCAGGGAACAGATTAAACAAGATACTGCTCTCAGTTAACATAGAAATGAATATGAGGAGAATCAAATTCAAATTATATATAATATCAAAACTAGAGTTTAGTAATATTCACTCTGTAATATTAATTATGAGTTCTTAATTGTTACTTATTACATCAATGTAGAAGCTCATAGGAAGAAAGATGTCAATTCCTCAGGCAAGCCACATTTTTTTTTCTTTTCTTTTTCTTTTTTTCGTATTATGACCACTAATAGATAGTCCTGAGTGGTTAATTTTGCAGAAGCATTTGTATTTTGGAAGTAAACATCCTAACAATAACAACAACAGCTTTAAAACAAAGTACAATTCAGACTTAAGCATGTGTGTGTTATACCAATAAAAACAGGGACACACAGAAGAGAGAGGGAGGGAAGACAGAGCAGGGAGAAAGAGAGAGAGGAAGAGAGAGGGAGAGAAAGGCAGGCAAGAAAGGAGGGAGGGAGGGAGGGAACTCCAGGTGAATCTGACTACTACACTTTTTATGTTCTACCCTCTATGGACAAATTCTGAAAAAATATACTTATCCACCTAATTTTCACCTACTAATTGGAAATTTAATGATGAGCTTTTAAAACATTAAATTCTGCTTCCACTGTGCCACAAATACTGTTCATGATATGTTTTCCATTATCCCCACTTGAGGCTATGTTTGGTGATTCAGCTGTACCTTTCTTAGTGTTCACATGTGTCAGCATACTCACACTCGCTCCTTCCTTTGTCAAATCATCTAGGTCATCTCAGATACTGAGTTTGTGACTATCATTCCCAAATTCAACATTCAAGTCCACTCTTCTCATCAGACCCAGATAGATATGTTCAACCCCAGGCTAGACATCTCCTCTTAAATGTATCTGGAGAAGGTCAATATTTTTTTTTAATTGTCTAAAACTAATCCTATTTGCCCCAGACCTTTCTTATTTCTGTACATGGCCATGTGATTTCTGCAGTGTGTCTCATTCCAAAAATTGAAACACCATTTGGCACCTCTTTTTGCTTATCCTTCATAGCCAATCAATTGCCAAATCTTTGGATCCTATCTGTGTAACAAATGCATGTGCATCCACTTCTTGCAACTCCCTGAACTGACCTTTGCTCAACCACTACTACATCCTTTTATCTAATACTCTTTCATCTAATCTTCTGATGTAAACTCTTGTCCTTCTCATCTGTTCAGTTGAAGGACTGATTTTCTTAACATAAATATTAGATTATTTCACCATTGTAATTGTAATGCATCAGTAGTGGCACAGTGTTCTAAATGTAAAAACTAAATAAAACATTTTAACAACTTTGATTCCCTCTACTGCTCAAGCCCTTCGTAGAATTTCATGTCCACTCATTCACCTGTTTTTTATACAGTCAACTATTTTTTTTTTAACTTTTTTGTTAGGCCTGCAAATTCCTTCTTTTTTCATATTCCCCAGGTTATTTACCTGCAATCTTTAAGCTTCAACTACTTACACTTTCTCTGGGAAGTCATTCCTTAAATGCTTTATAATCAATTAGAGACCCACCTTCACATTGCCTTGCAATCTTCACTTCTTCCTATTGGCATTTATCGTAATTGTGAATGTAGACATACACTCAAAAATTTTCATCTGTGTAAGTAGATACACTGTAGGCAAAGTACTCTTTTGTTCTCTGCTTTTTACCTGTACCTTAGCAGTGTCTAGGTCTGTGTCTGAAACACTGGGGGTATTTGCTCAATATTTTTAAATTTTAATAAAGGCCCCACAGATATATCAAAGTCAATGCTTTCAAAGTAGGTTAAACTGTCTCCTGGTGCAAACAATATTCTGTCTTTGTTACTATCTAGTTGAATAACTCGCTGTCTACTTGATTTCATAAAACAGAAAACTGAGCATCATCTGTGAAACCTCTCTCTGTTCACCAAACCACAGCCAGTTATTAGGTATATGTGTACTCATACATCATAATCATAGATTATTCAGATATTTTCTCTAATTTTTCTTCCCACAACCATTAGTGTAGTAGAGGGCACCATCAGTTCTCAATTGTATTTTTTGCAATAGTTTCCTACCATATTTTCCTGTAGTCTTTATATATAATTTAAAAATACAATGAAGAAATTTTAATATATAATATTTAGTGAAAACTGAAGAATTAAAAATGCACATGTAAGGTCATATCTTGCTGGCAGGGAAAAAATTAAGAAAAAAATCTTTGAAACGGAGGAATTGTAAACCTTTTTTTTTTTTTTTTTTAATTTCTTTAGTGAACTTGCATTAAGTCACTAATGGGTGAGAAAGAGAAGACAGAATGAAGACAAGACTCTGCAACATAGTTTCAGATGTTACTCACCTCGTCTCTACACATGAGAAAAATCCAGTCTCACCGTATCACATATTCTGATATAAGCACTATTGCTGGAGTTATTTAAAAAATAGGCATGTTTCCAAAAGTTTAGTTAAAGGTAATTCTATAGATGTAGATGGTATTAAAGTACTGATAACCTGAAGGTAACATAATGCTCATATGGCAACCATAATACAAGGATATGTCAATATAATGTAAAGACTTTTATTGCCATATTGGTAGTACCAATTATTTTTCTCCAGCAAATTTCAGAAATTATTTCTGGTATATATAATAGTAATATGTAGGTCTCTTATGTATCTTTCATTAGTAAGCCACTTCAGTTCTTTATTATTTGAGTCCTCAAAAAAGAACAAAAAGTTATATAAAAAATCAAATAGGAAATTGTTGCACACATAGGAACTAGCATTATTATTTTGACCTTAAATTATTTCTATTGACAAAACTTAAGAGTTTCACTACAATTTCAGGGAAAACCACTTCTTCATCCTGCCTCGGATCTGCTGGGTCTTTACACTGTAGATGACTGGATTCATCAGAGGTGGGAAGAGAATATAGATACTGCCCATAAGGACATGAACTAAAGGAGAGAGATGCTTTCCAAAGCGGTGTACCATGGTGAGACCAATGATGGGAACATAAAAAACCAGTACAGCACAGATGTGGGAAACACAGGTCTGCAAAGACTTGAGCCTCCCCTCCCAGGATGCAATTGAGAGCACTGTACGCAAGATGAAAACATAGGACGTGAGAATAAGGACAGCGTCCAACAACAAGGTACAAATCACCAGAGTCAGGGCATAGAGGCTGTTGAAGCGGATGTCAGAGGAGGCCAGCCAGAGTAGGTCCTGGTGCAGACAGAAAGAGTGAGAGAGATTGTGGGGGTGGCAGTAATGGAAAAACTTCAAACGAATGATGACAGGAAGAATGGACAAAGTGCTTCTCATTAAAATAGTCACCACGAAATGAATGACTCTACTATTAGTCAGGATTGATGTATACCTCAGAGGATTGCAAATAGCTGTGAAGCGGTCAAAAGCCATGGCGAGAAGAACTCCAGACTCCGTGCAGAAGAGACAATGGACAAAATAAATCTGTGCAATGCAGGCATCCAGACCAATCTCCTGGCTGAACCCCCACAGGATCCCCAGCACCGTGTGCACTGTGGACAGCCCCATGCACAGGTCAGTGAGGGCCAACAGAGCCAGAAAATAGAACATGGGCTGGTGCAGGCTTGGCTCAGTCCAGATCACGTAGAGCACCATGCAGTTTCCCAGGAAGACCATGGCATAGATGGAGGAGAAGGGAATTGAAAACCAGGGATAGCACTGATCCAAGCCAGGGAACCCTATGAGGATGAATATCGAGGAATTGATTATGGAAGCAGAAGAAGCAGTCATAAATATTGGAATGTAATTTACGAGATAGGATAAATATTTATCCACAGTTTTACTTTAGCCTTCTGCTGTTTTTGAGAACAAATATGCCACAGCCACCCTGCATATAGTAGAGGTGAAGCTAATTGTAGAATTGCAGGGAAGCTGAACAATATACGAGAAGCTATCATGAAATAATTTCTAAAGCACCCTCCTTTGCATTAGGTCTCAGAGGTTATGGAAACAAATCAGTACTCAGAGTTTACGGAAACAAATCAGTGTCCTGACCATTTTTGGCAAATTAAATCCCTAACATCATTCACTTTTAGTCTCTCTGAGCTACTTGCTCCAGGTGGCAGTGACTACAGTCACTGAGACATGAGGCTGCCTCTGAACCCTTTCCTCATTACCAGACCTTATGGCATGTGGAGCCAATGCTCAGATTTATGAGTAAGGAAGGAAAAGGACTGTGCAAGCCAGGTGAACCTAGGCTCCCGGGAGACTCCTAAACCCTTTTCGTAGATGATGGAAGAAAAGGATTCTGTCTCATCACATGCTGGGATTGTGGATAAATAGCAGTGTTTTCCGCAGAGTAAATAAATCTTTTCTAATCTTAGAAGAAGGAAGTCTCACTGCATTGACTGCAAATTCAATACATACTCAAAAGTAAGGGGAAAAATGTAAACACACAACAGGAAGAAATATTATGAGGATTTTAAATAATTTATCCTTCTTAGGTCTGCATTTAAGTTTGAAGTCAACAAAAAATAATTAAATATAGCCTTCTTACTGTTTTTCCTTACAATTCTTTTTATTTTTTTCTGAACTCTTCAGTAAACTTTGCTCTCTTTTCTGAACCCCAGGGAAAGTGTTGTAGTAGTCCGTTTTTGTCTTGCTACAACAGAATACAGGAGACTGGGTGATTTATAAAGTAAAACAACATTTATTGCTTACAGTTTCTGAGTCTGGGAAGTCCAAAGTCAATCTGGTGGTGGCCACGGCAACCCAAGCATCTCACATGGCAAGATGATGGAAGCAGAGAGAGCAGAGAGCAAAAGGCAGACTCTCTTTTTATAAAGCCCGGAGAACCATGCCCCTGACCACCATTTTTAATCTATTCACTACTGCATCGTCCTACAATCTAAACACCTCTTCAAAGTTCCATCTTTCAATTACCATAATAGGATCTCCCACTCTCTTCACAGTCACAGCCAGGGTGGGCTAAGTTTCTAATACATAAAACCTGAAAGACACAGTTTAAACTTCAGGGAGTTTTGGGGGAACATAATTCAATCCACTACAATTGTCTTCTTTCTTAAAAGAAAAATATAAAGATGCGTATATAACCTGGTTTTGCAAAAATGCTATAAAAATGAAATACATCATATTGTTAAAACATTAAATATACATTAATTGCACATAGTTAATTATGCACTCATGTAAACTACTTGAAATATTTTATTTTCATATATGTATAATTATTGCAATGCACTGTATAAGATTATATGTAATTATTTTCCTCAAATTCTATTTTTTTTTCTTCTTGGACATTTTCAACAAATCTTTTCTTACAGAAAGTTTCAAGTACGTGACAAACAATGTTTTTCTTGAACTATTTGAGAATGTTTCCTGTCTAATGCCCAAGTTCCCCCAAATTCTTCAGTGTATGTTTTCTACAAACAAGGTTATCCTCCTACATAGCTATAATACAACCCCAAACCCCCAAAACCCAAGAAATTAACATTGTCAAATTACTACCATCTAATTTTCAGAACCCATTAACTTTATCTAATTGTACCATTCATGTAATTTATAGCAAAATAGTACAGTTCACAATCATGTGTTCATTTGTAGTCTTGTCTATCTAGTTTCTTTCCTTCTGAAAGTGCTTTAAGCTCTCCTTAATTTGTATGACTCAAACTTTTGAAAAATGTAGGCCGGGTACTTTACCTGAGTGTCCCTCATTCTGAGTATGTTTTATGATCCTCATAGTTATACTCAGATTATGCAAGAATATCATGGAAGGGAGGCTCCGTTCTCATGACCTGTTTAAGTTGTGTGTGATTTTAATGTGCCCTACTGATGATGGTATAAAGTTAATTGTTTTCAGTTCGACCCCGTGGCGCACTCAAGAGAGTGCGGTGCTGGGAGCGCAGCAACGCTCCCGCCGTGGGTTCAGATCCTATATAGGACTGGCCAGCACATTCACTGGCTGAGCGCGGTGTGGGCGACACCACACCAAGGGTTGCGATCCCCTTACCAGTCACGAAAAAGACAAAAAAAAAAAAAAAAAAAGTTAATCGTTTTCTATGACATTTAGCAAATATTTTGTGGGAGAGACTTTAAAACTGTAGAAATCACTATAATAACTATGATCTACTAACTGTAGCTATCACTGTTTCATATTTTCCTCAATAGGTAATAATCAGTCACTCTCCATTTTTTTCAATTTTCAACTTGTTCCAGATTTAGACAGTAAGAGCACCTTAATCTGGCTTTGACATCATTGTGACATGTGCTTATCATTCTTTTTGGACTCCCTTGCTTTTTGACCCAAGTATATATTCAGTGTATTTTCATCAGCTTGGCCCTGTGATTAACCATTTTCCCAAGAAACTTTGGCTTCTTTTAATAAGGATTACTATTGAGCAGCTAAGCTTTGCATGCAGCACAGATCATTTTGGAGAATCACTACCCCCAGCCTCCCTCAGTGGATTGAGCTCAAGTATTAGATATATATTTATTTATTTAACTATCTACATGTATTGAAAACTATAATTGCACACTTATGCAACCAATTCTCAATATGCATCATAGTCGTGTCCTACAAAGTTGCCAGAAACACTGAATTTATGAATACCAAACTATTGCTGCTAGGGGAGATCCATGGTTAGGTTCTTACAAGCCTGTAGTCACAACAACTTTGCCAACAGAAATGCTATCCGTATTATACGGGTTTATTTGCCAATGTCCTTGTAAATAATGTCAGTCTCATTAGCATTGAACACTTTCCCTGTATGACACAAAGCGGGTTTTAAAAAATATTATTATTTCTTCTTTAGACCCTACCGAGACCCTTGCTTTGCTTGTAAGTTTAACACTTTTCCTGCCGTATTGTCTTATGATACATGGGAGCCATCCAGAAATAGCTGAGAAGGGTTTAAGATGCTGGGTATACTGACTTCAAATTTCTTCAGCTTTCAGCCTCACAAAAATGCCATCCACTACATTGTTTTTATCAGTTGTCATCTCATATATCCAAAAACTTTGCTGCTTTTTCATTTTTTTTCCTAGCTTCATCAAGCACTATAGGAATGACTTTATTACTTCTCAGAAAGTAATTACAGGTAAATAGGGAAACTTTTCTATTTATACCATATCATTGATTCATTAACATGGAATTCATAGCCAACCACACTACATCTTACATCAGGACCAAGCTTATCTAATGCTGTATTTTTTTTTTTTTAATAAAGCACATCACAGCCTTCTTTCTCTAAGGAACACTAAATCACACTTCCACACTACACTTGGGGGCCATTTTAAACAACAAAATTACCAAAAAAAAAAAACAGAAACCGCAAAAACATTTAAATTATGGCAGTAAATGAACCATGTAGAGGACACCTGTACACAGCAGGAAAGCTGAAACAAGAATTTAGAGCATCACATTGTTCAGTCTCAGCTGTGCCCATCTGGTGACTCAAATTTTTTGCCTTTCTGTGCATGTCCACCAATGATCATGTAATTTTTGTGAGTATTAAATTGAGGGTACAAGTAAATTTTCTCATGTAAGTGAATTTAAAAATAATTTGTGAATAATGAGAATTGACTGTGCTATAAATTTCAGTTAAAAAAAAAACCTGGGCCGACCCCGTGGCAAACTCAGGAGAGTGCAGCGCTGGGAGCGCAGCAGAGCTCCCGCCACAGGTTCGAATCCTGTATAGGGATGGCCAGTGTGCTCACTGGCTGAGCGCTGTGAGGATGACACCAAGCCGAGGGTTGAAATCCCCTTACCAGTCACAAAAAAAAAAAGACAAAAAAACCCCTTAAATTTTGGTTTAGTATTTTCTCTTTTATTGCTATCTGCAACTTTTGTCTACAAAAGTGATAAACCTGGCTCCCATTAATTGTAAAAACTTATTTGGTCACTATTCCTATACGTATCCAATCTCTTGTTAACATAGTGTATATTCTCCTGTGCAGACACACCTCTGTCAGTATGGGATTTGACACCCAGCAGGAAGTCGCCCTGCACATGCATCACCCTTGATCCACGTGAGTTCCACACTCCGTGCTGGCCCAACCTTCCCTGATAGAATTCCATTCTCTACTCTCTCTAGCTCTAACTCCTGATGCTGAGAAATCCCGCAGGTGGAATATCATTCTCATTCTCTTCTTACCTGGGCTCTTCCTTCCTATCCTAGTTCCCCCCACACATGTATGTGCCTTCCCAGTCCTGCTCAAACTCTGATACTCCACTTCTCCTCAGGGGAACTGCTCTGCTCACTCCACTTGGGCTCTGACTGTCCAAATTGGAAAGTGATGCCTCCCGTCCCACAGGCGAAGCCCACCCCCCTTTCTGCTTGAGACTTGACATCTCGTACCAGGCTGCTCCTTTACATGGACAACTTCCTGAACTCATTCAGGCTGCTATGGTCCGGTCCATTGCTGAACCCACCCCCAACTCTCTCTTTCTTTCTCTCTCTCTCACGCCCCCCACACCCTCCCACACACACATATATAAACACAGAACACACATACATGCATAATTCCCAGCACAGATACTTACCATGCTCGTTCTAACTAATGGCTTGTGAAACATATGTTACAGGAAAATAAGAAAAAGAAAGGAAAGAAAAAGGGAAAGATAAAGAGCAATCCTCTTTTTAAATATTAAAATCAATTTTAAAATACCCAAGTTTTTCACAAAGGCTCAGTGGGAAGGATATATATACAATATTTGCCTATGATTGTCTTAATCCAAAGAGAGTATATGCCTTCCTCTACCCACTGAACACCAA